TTCTAGTATTCTGTATTACTTTTGTATTAAAACCCCAAGTAGATTAAAAGTTCATTAAAACTTCAAACCTGTATTTCTGTATCCCTGTAAGAATTCACAAAGTACACTGATTCTTTGCAAAGCTTATGAACATATTAGTATCTGAAAGATAAGTATATACAATTTCTACAGTTTATACAAGCCATTTAAAATGGACAGTGTTTTAACCACTAGGTGAAAGAGAATGTAAAATGAAAGAAAAAATAGAAATTGTTTGGTCAGTTAAAAAAACCCAAACCAAACCAAAACCAGAAAAGGTTTTTCCTGATGTGAAAGCCCAGCAATGTAAATGCTGTACATGACAGTGTGCAATATTTCTAACTGGATCTGCCATTAAAAGAAAACAAGTTGGTCATTTTGCATAAATGAGGGGGCTTTCTGTTTCCTGTATTTATTGCTCCGAAATACTTTCAGATTCTCCATTATCCCAGTCCCACTGATCCCGATGACAGTCAGGCTTTGCACTTACGAACCACACACTCCAAGCAGCCACCTGGGTAAAGACCCTGATGCAGCCTTCCCTCCATGCTTCCCCTCTCCACCATGCACAGCCTGGAGGTGGCCATCATAGTCCCACTTTGCATTTTGGGTGTTCTTACCTGCCCATATGGAAATAGGGTTTTCAAACACAGCAGAAAGCAGACATGACTCTCTCACTTCATTACTAGAGAGTAGGGGGATATACTCTGCCCTTTGCATATAAAGGCTCTTTGTATTTATGTCACCAAAGAACGAGTTGAAGTTCTGCCTTTCTTTGGCAGATATTTATACGCATATGGATGGCTGAGGCTGACTGTGTCCAGAGGCAGGTGCTCAAGAATTGGTCCTATACCTTCTTGAAAGGTGCAGGTAACAATCCTCCTGTTGATGAAGAAGTTCTGAAGAGGTGATGACACATGGTTGCTACTTAAGCTACAAGTAGGAATAAAATACTTGGTTAGCTTATTTCTTTCTTGAATTATTTTCTCAAGGAAATTTCTTTCCTCAAGGAAAAGCCTTCTTAAAGAGTTTAAACTGTGTCCTGGTGTGTCATAGTAAAGAACTGAAAAGATGTAGGCTTTTACTTTTTAGGGGTGAGACAGCTAGCTCTAGCTCTTACCTATTTTTTAGCTCTTGATCTAGCTCTTCTTTTAAAAGCCTTTTTGTTGTTAAAGACAGGAGGTTTTAAATTTATGCTCTTCTGCTGTGCATAAAGAGTTACTGTTCCTGGTGTTGCTGAGGACTTATGAGTTCCTGCATTTCTTACTGAGTCCTCACTCAGTGGTGCTAATTTTATTGCATGATGTTATCCTCATTTAGACCTGTTCAGGTTTTTTGTTGTTGTTGTTCGTTTTTTTTTGTTTGTTTGTTTTTTGGGTTTTTTTGGTCATTGTGTTTGCTTTTTTTGCACTGATGCCATGTTTAGTGAAGGAAGAATCAACTTTCCTGTACCTTATTAGTAGATTTTTGGGAAAGCTTCAGCAGGCATTAAATGGTTTGTAGATCGCTTCTTATACAGCTGCCAGTGAAGATGCGTTGTCATCAGCCATCCAGAGGAATAAAGGCGTCAAAATACATCAGAGAGATAGCTTTGGTGCATGTGTTTGTGTGTCTCATGAGGGTAACTTCTTGACCCATGCTAAAGCCTAATGTTGCTAGGGCTGAAATCAGTTGAGTTCTTACAACATCCTGGGTGGTGAGATTGTCAGTCCCGGTCAGGGAAAGCTGCTGAACATCCCTAG